GAGAGAGAGAGAGAGAGAGAGACGAGCAACGCGAAATTCGAGGGAAACCGGTCCTTTTTAATGCCTTCCTCTTCGGTCTCGCTAGCCTTTGTGGCCCAGTGAACCCAAATCTATGTATTACTCGTTCATCGTGCCACTATTCTCAACACTACACACACACGGTGCACATAATCGGTATCGACGATCTTTTACCACGAGATCGAAAAACGGTCAGCAATCGCGTGAAACGTTCGAAGAGCAAGATTCGTACGTTTACTTTGCATCTCGATTACAGATTAAATATACGCTTATATCGTCATTCGAAGATCCGAGGATTTTTCGCAAAATCGTTTGAATTTTATATTCCGTTTTTATTTTGCTACCTTCTTGAATCGTTAATTACTGACAAGAAGAGAGAAAAGTCGAAAAGACGCGACCAAACTGATTATTCGAGTTTTATTCGAATCTTGCGCTTCGATGCTGTTTAAACGTGCTGGCGAATTCGTGGCACAGCTTTGGCACTCACACACGCTACTTGCACCGTTTATTTTTATTAAGACCCTCTTATATCGACACGGTAATAAACGATGCTCGCGCAGACGCAGTTATCATCGGTTTTTCGAAGACATCATACTTGACGCACTTTGACAAAGACGCCTCGATCATCGATGTTCGATACGAACCAAGAGTGACGCGTTTCCTCCTTCCTTTTCTTTCTCTTTCTTTCTTTGTACATCATTCTGTTAGTGACATTAAGTTTTTCATTACGTACAACAAACTTTCTCGATCGATTATCTTTGTAACTCGATGATCGTGCCAATTCGCAAGAGACTTTCGATTCCCGGATCCGAGCATTACTCGATTTTGTTTCGGTTTTATTACGCTTTTCTTTTCTTTTTTTTTTTTATTATTCGATTTGTTGAAAAGTAAAAGCAAATATTCGAAGCTCACAGATGCTGAGTCAACTATTGGCATTAACCGGTTCCGAATAATACAGTTTCGTTACGATATTCGAATAATACGCACAATACGATTTATCCATTCGATGCGATTTAACGGTTAATGCGATGATACAAATTATAATGTCGAAAATAAAGTGAAACTTGACGGAATATATGATCGTAAATTTATCCGATTGATTCAAAGTTGAATTATTTTTGTTCCATAAACATATTACGCGTAACGATATTATTTGTATATTTCGATGTTTAAGCCGATAAAAGGATCGAAACGTTTTTACGTTTTCCGAGGAAACGTTACTCCCATGCCAGATCTAGCAATCTATCTGACGTATCTCGTTCGAAAAATAAAACGGGTATACCACTTACTTGAGCATTTGCGACTCTCGTTAGTCCGTTAGGAATTTTACAGAGTTAAGATCCACAACCTTAAGATGCACAACCAACAGACACGCACACGATATACTGCCGTTTTTCTTTTTCCACTTTTATTCCTCTTCTGCTTTCTACTCATCGAACAATATTTCTCTTCCCACCTATCTTCGTAAATAATCCTCGATGATTTGTAGCGCACGATAATCGATTCACCGTGTTTACTTAAAAGGGATAGCACGTTCTTAAGATTTTATCGTTTTCCAAATGATTTTCCAATTCTTCGTTGAAATGGAAACGTGATGCAATGTGAAAAATCAATATGTTTATCTTTATCGCGCGCTACAACACTGTTCGTGTCTTCGAAAAAAGAAGGAGAAAAATAAATAGAAAAGAAAAAAAAAAAGTAAAAAAAATACATGGTGCAAATTGGAAATGCGAGTCCAAGTTTCTTTCTGCACCTGGTGATACTTATATAAGGAAAAAAAAAAAAAAAAATGCGACACTTGCGTTCGCAAGAAGCCAAATAACGGTACTTATTTAACACGTAAATGGTTGAACGAACGAATGAGTCTCCGTGATCGTAAAACATCGGTCACTCTGTATTTACATTTCTTTCGAGAAAAATGTCGAAAGGCACATAGCCAAACGAGTTAAAAAATCCGAAACTCACTTACCCACTAGGCTTACGCTTTACGATAATCATATTTTTTTTTCTCCGTTTTTTCAAACAAAAAAAATTTATCTACAATGAACCTACGCTCAATACTTTGCTTCTCGTTTACTCAAGAATCAATCCTTTTGTTCGATGTGATTTTCCAAACTTGATTGAAATTCTAAACGGTTGTTGGGTAAAGCGAAATGTTGAGCGCAGATGCATTCGAAATGCTAAATACGTGCATGTGGTTCCGAGAATATTGTGCAAACGAAACTGGCGAGAACGACGAAGGAACTGCATGGATAGTATTCGCTGCATAGAAAGGAACTAACACAGAAAAATTGTTGTTGTTAATGTTGTCAAAAAAAATGTGTCAAATTAAAAATATAAGAATTTCAAGCATCTCACGTCCTAGTTGTGTATTCGAGTGGAGATTGAAGACAACACGCGTTTTCGAAATATCGGTCATTTTTTATTATAAAGTATGTATGTACGCTTTGACGTAAATGGCAATTGCTCTTTAGTATCGTATTTTACATTACTTACAAGACACTTCAATCGTTCGATCGTAAAACAGTTGTTATGTCGAGAGAAAAAAAAAAAAAAAAAAAAAATTATTTTCAGGAGCGTCAATTTGAACCTTGGGACCACAATTTTCCATGCATTTAACACCTGCGATAAATGTACAGTCACTAAGTGCGGTAAATTGCTTTCTTGCGTATATAAGTAGCAGAAAATTTCTAGAATTCTTATTGCAAACTGTGCATGTACAAATTAAAACAAGGCACAAGTATATACAATAGCCGACGTTCGGAAAAAGCTAAAATTCAATTCGTCTTCCAAACTTATTTCTTTGTATTCGAATTTAATAAGTTAAAAAAATTTTCATAATAAGGACAGACTAATATTATTTCATTACTTGTGCAGCCTTTTTTGCTTTGACAAGTTCGACCAGCTCCTGCAAAATGATCGTATAAATTTTAATGTAAAAAGAAAAAAAAAAAAAAAAAAAGAAAGAAAAAAAAATGTTCAAACGATATTTCTCCGAAACATACCTTATACCTTCTCATACATTCTTTTTTCGTTCTAGTTGGAATACAAGCAGCTATCTGATCCCATCTATCAGGCACGCTCGTAGGATAAGTCTTTAAAGCTTGTTCCAAAAGTTTCTGCTCTGCTGGAGTCCAAGGCTGCGATTCTTTCTTTTGTTCAGAATTAATACCATTCGAAATAGGGTGATCTAAACGTTCCGTAACTGCTGGCATTCTATCTTCGATCGATTCCTTTGTTTTCTTCTCGGCAATAAAATTATCGTAAGCCTTTTTGTTTGCTTGCTCTTTTAGACTAGATCTACTAAAATCTGTCGATTGTAGATCCTTAGCTTTTGCGAGAACTTCTTTCGCATCGCGTGTGATTCCGGTTGAAGATGTACTATGCTGATTAATAAAATTTGCAACTACCTCCCAACGTTGATTTGTTCCAGCCGGAAATAAATTTACCGCTTTTATCAGAAGTTGTAAATCATTTTCATTCCATGGAGCAGTATGAGATTTTACTTGCTTTTCCGGTGTATTTCTCATATCGTTTGAAATAACACCGGCTCTACGTTCTGCTTCTATTTTTTTTTCAGTCTCTTCCATAATATTTAAAAATGCTATCCTACCCTCAGCCTGTAATTTCTTCATCGCTTCCTCCAATTGAACTAATTTAAAAAGTTCACAAATTTTTTCAACACTTTCCATATGCTTAATATTTTCTTCCGAATTTTGAGCAAAGTAATTGTTAGCTTTGCAAAAATCTCTCAACGCTTTTCTTTCTTTACGAAGTGCTTTCTTTTGTGCTTCTCTTTCTTGTTTAAGCGCATCCAGTTTTGCTTTCTCTTCGATCTCCCGCTTTTCTCTTTCTAATCGTTCCTTTTCTGCTGCGTCTCGTGCTATTCTTTCTTCTTCTTGCTGTCTTGCTTTTGCCGCTTCTTGTTTCGCTTTTTTTGCTGCTGTTTTCTTATCCTTATCTTCCTGCTGGAATTTTTTTATTCTAGGATCGATATTATAAGCCATGTCAACCAATGTACGTATACGTGCCATCTCTTCCTTCTTTCGTTTCGCACGAGTTGCTTTGTTCTTCTTCTCGATCCATTTACGCATATCTCGGCTAGAAAAAAGATTAAGGTCAATTGTAAAAACATATTAAGAAATAGAAATATTGTATGGGTGATATTACTTACTCTTGACCACTTTCTTTGTCTTCTTCGTCTAAATAAGAATATTCGCGCCACGAGTCAAAATCATACCAAAATGAATAAAATTTTTCTACTTTATCTCTAGGTGTATCTGATCCACCTAAACGCGGTACGGGCTTTTTTATAGACCATCTAGCATTTTCCTTAAATGCTTTACCCATAACCACGTAAAAATTATTTTTACAATCTTTTTCGTCCGGTAATTCGTCGTTAAAATATGGATCCACACTGTCGTAACTCCGACGCTTTGCAGGGTTCCCTAAAATTTCCCAAGCCCGTGTTATGCAGGTGAAGTAATCGTCGTCTGGTCGGATTTCCTCTCCCATGGCCTTGCGCTTATCGGGATGATGTTTCAGAATTTTCTGCTTATCTGTAATTCACATATCAAATACTCCTCAACCGCGTTAATCATTGTGTCAGGCAAGACAATGAACGATATAACACCTACATTCCTTTACAGAGTATACTTTGAACTTTCTCTACGTACAAGCCCTTTTTATAATATCTTCGGTTGCTTTGTGCCTAAGCTTTTTCAAGCCTAAAACAGCATAATGATCTTGATCTCTCCACTCCTTTGGGTCCAATGATCTAAGGTACTCCAAGTCATCTTCAAACTGATATTGAGAAAAATCCTCTTCATCGGATGATTCTGATATCCTGGTAGGCATAAGACTGCGATGAAATTGAGCTGCCCATGCTTGTGCAGTTGAGTATAAAACTAAAGGTCCTGCTTCACATGATTCCATCTTGGATGAAGCTGTAAATTACATTTCATAATCGTTGGGATTTCTCATGTTCAATTTAATTTTTCTTCGTTCCATTAAATCCACATGTAAAAATAAAAATATCTTTCGATTACACGATACATGTACATATATACATATATATATATATATATATATATATAATATATATAAAGACTCAAAAGATTCATTTTAGAAATTTCCGAATAGCACAAGATAAGGTTAAGATATTTTTTACTATTCATAAATCTATAAAACTTATAGTCTTATGAAAAGTAAGAATATTAAAAGAAATTATTTAAAAATTTTGAGATACCGTTACATACATATATGCTCGATAAAATGTACTTTGTGAAATTTAACCTCACATGGCCGGGTGTCAAAAAGGAAATATTAACAAAAATATAAAAACTTACCAGATATTCTATTTAAATCCGTCAAATTGGCGTCACTTATGTTAGTCGTCATTATTAGCTAATAATAAGATGTTACTTTTTACGAAGAAATTGCTAGAGAAATCGCAATGAAAACATAAGCGAACGGTACCACAGACGAGGTATAGGATAGACCTAACATTTAATAAGACTTTGTATTCTATGTTCTGAAATACCGATTGTGCAAAAAATCAGGCTCCTCTATAATTTAAAGATATTTCAATGATAACAATTATGTTTCAATGAAAAAATTGATAAAAATCAAAAAATTTTAAAAATAATTTCTTTAATTTTCTTACATTACATATATTATATTTATAAATCTTTTGATTATTACGATATCAAATAGATTCATAAGCATTATGAATTAATATTAATTATGAATTAATTAGAAATCATAAATTATCAAATAAAAGATACAAAGAAAAGAAAATAAAAAAAAAAGAATTAAGAATTGATTATCAGCGCTATCTCTTTAATATTAAAAGTAATTCTAATGTTAAAAAGTAGTTATTCTGTTCATGATATATATAGGAAAGTCATTGGTTGTAGCATTCAAATTCTTAATATAATAATAATACAAAAGAACAATTCAGACATTTATTCTGTCTACGTATTTCGTGTGTATTTTTTGACAGTCAAGAAATGGCGCTTACAATCAATTCTTATCCTATCTTCATCTTTCCTTTACTTTCTATCTTTTTTTTTATATCTATACTGCAACTTATCACAGATGAAACATGGTATGTCAATTGAATATATTTTCAATATTTCTCTTTCATATATAATGCTACTAATGCATTTTAATTTTTAATGTAAAAAAATATATAAATATATATGTTATATTCTTTTTGTAATATTTTTAGGATAAAAACCTGACAAAACATTATATTTTGATATATGAAGCAATATGTTATATGACATTGAAAATATGTGACAATGTAATATTTCCGAAACAAGGGATAAAAATGCATTGAATGTTAATATTCTTGTCAGTAAGATATTATTGCATTATATACAAACCTCTCAGTGGGAAATGTTGTAAAGTAAAATTTTTTTATTGTATAGGTAAGTGTACTTATACATATATTATAACGAAGAATAATTATATATCTTATTAGATATTTAGATTAGATTAATTATATACAGATTTATTTCGTTACAATTGTATCATTTATTATGGTATTATTATGCTATATACAGTATAGTAGTATTTTTGAAAAATTCAAGATTATTGATATACATACATTAATTTATGATAATGATGTGTTGATGTACTGAATAAGATTATTATATGTAATAGTTTATTTTAAATATATTTGTGAAAATATGATACATATTGTATGAAGAAATTTTCATGTAAATATTAAAAAATACAGATATTGTAATTATATTTGTTGGGATCATACTTTGGACGGAAATAACATTTTTTGGATAAACAATTACGTTTGGGAAGACTAGGGGAACATTTGTAGCTTTTTTTTCTTATTTTACAATAGTTGGCACAAACACCATATTTTTTTCATTACCCGTTAAAATATTAATCTTAATAGCATTCTTTGTTGAAACAATAACGAAACATTAAAAATTCAACAAGAGTTTATACACTTTTAAAAGCGACGTCATTTAGAAATACATAAAAATTACTTAAAAATTCTATTTGTTAGTTAAAATAAATTAAAGCGCGTCAACTACAAAGTAGTATAGTTAAACATATATAAAATGATTGGAACAGATTATACTGTGCAATTATCACTAATTCCTCCGAATGTCGTAATTAACCTCAAAATCAATATTAAAAATATCAGGACAAAAAAGCATTTAATTATTTTACTGATGACCAGGTGATGACAAACGTCTTTGTGATTGATATGGATTTTGCAATAAACGTGGCGAACATTCAATTACTCGCAATAATAATGCATCTATATAATCTTCCAAGTCAGTTAGACGTTTTTTCTTTTCTGTTACTTCCGCTTGCAGTTGTAACGTTAGCTCGATGAGATCCTGATATGAAAAAAATTTAATTACATACAATCATATATTATTTTAATATCTTCAAATTATTGATATATAATGTAACGATATAATTACCTCTCTTGATTTTCCTTCGAACTGTGTCAGAACTTCATGTGGCAAATGGCTTTTCATTGTTGCTGTGGTTTTAATTGCATCTTCACCTCCGATGATAATTCTTTCTGAAGATAAATTATTATCATCATTAAATTCCTTGAATCTATTCTCTTTTTCTTTTTTTTTATCTTTTCGTAATTGTTTTTCATCCTTAGGACTCCAACAACCATATTTATCTTCTTTCTTCTCTTTCAATTTTTCTTCTTTCACATTCTTCTCTTTATTCGATCCTAATTTTTCTTCTATCTTGTTCTTTGCTTGTAAAAGTTCACGTGGTGCAGGATTCGGAGTCTCTGAAGCTTCTTGATGTTTTAAAGTTGAAGAAGGCGAATTTACAGGTGATGTTTCACAAGGTTCGATCTTTGGCTCGTCTATTATAATTTTCGGACTTGGTTTATTTTCCCATCTAAATATTTAAAAAAATATATTAATACAATTGTTTTTATTCAGCAAAATTAATTTAAATCTTTTAACACACCTTTTAAGATTATTATTAACTTGTTTACCATAAAGTTTTAAACCCCACTCATCTTCTTTGATGTTATCCGCCTTGGATAAGGAGATAGCAGAAGAACTCACTGAGAATCGTGGTGGTTTATTCGGTACCGAATTCGCTGGCACTGATGGAAATTGATGTGTTTCAAAATTATTATTGGAGGAAGTAATTGATGTCACCGAACCTACTCTATTACTGTTACCACCAACTGGGGCATTTAAAGATGATGCTGAACTCTTATGAGATAAATCGTCGAACTAAAATATACAATTGATATATACGTTATTACAAAGAATCGAAATAATAATATATTGATAAGTAAATTTTATTTACCGTAAATTCATCTTCGTCTTCGCTGATAACACCAGGATCGGCTTCACCTGGTTCTTGCCGTGTAGTTCGAAATTTATATTCCTCTTTTTCGTCTAAATCATCCCCTTTATCTATATTATGTTTGCTCTTCCCTTTCACACGATTTCCAATCGATTTAGCCAATTTTCTTAAACCTTTACGTTTTTCAAAACTGCCTATACTGAGTAAACTTCCACCTATTGAATGAGCAGCTGTGGATAATTGGCCAAGAGAACTTTTGTGGCGTTCTTTATGACTCAAATCAGTTAAGCTACCAGCTTTTACAATGAAACCTATCTTTACTTCGAGTTCACCTCTCTCTTTCGTATTTTCTTTGCCTGGTTTACTCCCGAGTGTATACCTAAATGTAATAAAAAGTGTTAGTAAAAGTATGTACAATATATTTAGTCTAGTACTGTTTTAATCATTTTATCATTTTAAACTATGAATTTAATATGATTTTAAATATCGTTGAAAAGAAAAATCAAACAACGCACCATCTGTTCCTTGGTCTTTCGTAAACATCAAAGCTGGATAGAGGTATGCTGATGGTGCCGAGAAATTCATCAACTCCCAAGAAATTACGATGGAGGGCCGTAAGGACAATTTCCGCAGTGTTTCCTTGCTCAGGTATAAGTAACTCACATTCTTCGTGCCATTCTACATCCTTCGAAGCTTTCTCCTTCACAGACGTTTGATATTTTTCTTTTCCCAGCGCGATCGTCACGAAACAATCGTTGGATTCTGCGTTATTAGATTAAATGAGTGAAAACGTGGGTGGAAATCATTTGAAACGTAGGTGTCGACCGTAAATTTAAATTAATAAGTCAAACAACGAATGTCAAATCTCGCGAGGAACGAGATTTCAATTGTCTTATCATCGTTCACACGAATTATTTTTGTAATTCTTTTATACTTATATTCAAGACAATGTTGATCATTCCATCATTGCTTGAATATCAGATTTGGAAAATATATGATAATAATAATGATATTAATATTAATAATAACGATAACAACAACAACAAATAATAATAATAGTAATAATAATAATAATAATAATATCAGATTGTTCAACAACAATTGAAATTACGAACGTGTCTTTTTAAGATTATTAGTAATTCTGTATTAAAAAAATGACAACTATGCGAATCGTTATATTACAAAGTTTATATATACGTCGTTCAATTTTATGACTAAACATTTTTGTATACTTCGCGATATTCGGAACACAAATGACGCAATGGCGGCAAAAACTTATTTTTCATTGTTTTGAAATTTGAATCTCTTTGATGAAACAATTTACTGACATCGAGAAATTGTATTATGCTGTTCTATGAAATCTGATATGTATATATATATATATATATAAATGTTTTATTATAACATATTATATAAGGTCTATTCTTTATCTTAATGATCAATCAGGATACTTACTGTGTTTTCCTTTGGTTAACAAATTTTTCGCTCTTTGAACTGTGAACATAAAAAGGAATTTCATTAAACACTATAAAATAAGAAAATAAGAAAAGAATAAAAAAAAGAATTTATTTAAATATCAAAATTGAAAATTTTCATTAAAATCTTAATCTACTCAAAAATTAGATAAAGAAGGAAAGGCGTATCCGCGTGTTATTGTTAATTATGAACGATAAAATATTATGCCAGATGTATCTGACCAGAATATGAAATCGTTAGAATAAATTAGATAATATTTTATAAAGAGTCGCATCAAAACTGAGAAACATAATAACATACCTTCTTATAATGGTAAAACCGTAAACGTATTGGTTCTCGGCTATTATTCGTTGCATTCTTACCGTGAAACCGCGCTTCTATCGTACTGTTACACCGCTATTTTTCAAGTCTAATATCTTTTTTCACACAGGATATAAGATCAGGAAAAAATTCCTATGTATTTATCGTAGCGTTAACGTATGAATTTTTTTTCTTCTTTTTCTTATTTTTATTATTATTATTACATCATATTTTGAAATGATAATTTTTTGATAATTTTTTGAAACAACATTTATAGATTGAATTTATATTATCTATAATTTATAATTATGAACGAGATTTGCTATTACGTTTCATTTTAGTCATGAGACGATAATGCATAAAGCGCATGATGTGATCATTTTTTGAATCGAATAAAATGTATTATTTTTCTTGATTTCTCGCTAAATAACATTGATTCAGATGGGAAAATCAACTCTCTCTATACGTGTTTCCACGATCCGATTAAACGAAGCGAAAAGATGTGTCGGTTAGACATAGCGTAGCCACAGCTGCATCAAAATACCGTTTACTCGTAAAGGAACATTCTTAACGGTCCGAAGTCCCAATTAATTGGTTTAAAATATTTTTTTATTCATCAATAAAAAAATTTATTATGATTTATCATAATAATTAGTTTCATAGAATCTTTAAATTAAAAAAATTTAAGAAATCTTTAAATTAAAAAAAAAATTAAGCACATATATATATATATATATATATAATTTTTCTTTTATTTTTCTTCAAAATGACAACAATTTTATATAATAAAGTAAAAAGTGTAGTTTAAAATATTGTTTATTGTTTTTAATCCAAAAAAAATTGTCGAGATAGAAAAAAAGGAAAGGGTACTTAATAATAGATATACGATCCTGAGCAGAGGATATACTTACACATGTACGAATGAGAAGGGGAACATCAGCTGCTTCTACATAAGTACATATGCTTTCACACTCTACCTATTTTGCATTGAAACGAAAGTATTAAAAGTTTGTCAACTTGCAATAAATCTTTTATGATTAACATTAGCGATAAAAGTAATCCGATGATATTTTTAAACGAAAAATTATTGAAAATAATCGTTGATAAAGATTTGATTTGTACAATGATTTGTATAAATTTTACTAAGCAAATTAAGTAAGTCAGTTTTCGAAATTTAATGCATCGAATATGTGGGTCGTAAATAACCGCGCGCGATTTAAATACATTATCTTTATTTTGGCAACGATCAAACACATCGCAAAATATAATGTTATGACTTTTATACCAGATATTCGTGTAGAGTGAAAATGTTTATATCTGCCGAGGAACTAGAATGTAGAGTTCGTACTGTACTTCGTGCACGTAATTAATGAAAATGTGTATAGGAATGCACATATAAGATCGCTATCTTTTTGATTCAAGCAATGTTCGTGTTTTTAAGGTATTTGAGTTTTCACCGCCTCTTCCCAATCTAACTATCGCGTTACGGGACACTGCATTTGAATGTGATGAAAATTTTCTTGGATATTTATTTTTTAAAACTTTTACAAAAATAAACTGTAAACAAAAGGGATTGAATACATCGAAAGTTGATTTATATTAATCATTTAAAAATATCGTGATCGAAATCGAGGTAAGTAAGACACATCGTCCACGCTAGAAAACTGTTATATATATACTATATTCTTAAGAGACAATGTAAAAGATCTACTTTCTCAGTAAATAAATTTCTAACAAGCTATAACGAGATTGCAAGGTTTCGATTGCCTACATTCATTGAAGGATACGTAACCTAGTCTACGTGTAAGCATTAATTGGTTTATATTCAGTATAAACCACCTGCCGCATAGATCATATTTCTATCCGTTACGTTATGGAACTTATTTCGAAGTTCCTAGTATACATACCTGTCACTTGAACGTGCGTCGGACTCCACATTTTGTTCGATTCAGTTACAGCGATCACAAATATTCATCTGTTGTTCTTTCTACGACGAGCCAATCTACGTAACTATCACTACTTTAATGTCGATTACTGGCATTACGCGTTTTGGTTTCCACAATTCTACGTACTACGTAAATTAACCACACTAACAAACTATCCACCGATGCAATGTATGAACGACAACTGTACTGTTGACTAGTGTTCGAACAACCGCTACGTCCGCCTTGCGCATCGCGCACCATTACGGTAACTACTGCGCATCCAGTTTTGCGCATCCACTCATGCTTCGGGATCGTATGATATATTTCAATAGCCCTACGCTTACTATGTTATTGATACATATTTTTATTAATTTAATTTATAAACAAATAATGAATTAATTTATTTGAAAATTTAAAAGAAATTTCTTTATCTTTAAAGAAATTCGAGTAATATAATATTAAAATATAATATTAAAATTATTATAAATTTTTATAACTTATTTTGTGAAGTAACAATTTCATTCTTCAAATATAAATAAACAATTTCTTTGTTATATATTTCACAAATAGTAATTACTTTGTTATTTTAAAAGGAAGTTTATATACATCGTATATATTTAGAGATATGAAGTAGTCCATCAATGTGTAATCATTGTGATTAGTCATCGGTAAAATACGGAAATACACAAATAAATAGAAATTAGAGAATTGAATATGCAAACATTGTATGTATAGTTTTGTAACTAATAAATAAGTAAACAATACGTATTTTTGATTAATATTTATAACTGAAATTTTTTTATAAATGAGACATATTATAATGATAAAACAGTTTTAAGTATTAATGAATTATATGAAATGAAATAGACAATTAAACAATTTTTTTTTTTAGAGAAAAAACATGTTTGTTAAATATTCGAAGAATTATGCATCTTAATCAAATCGTTTAATATTTTTATCATGTATTATTTTATCACAGATTCGTCATGGTTATGTTATCGCAAGATTTATTTTTTTTTTATCACACACGTAGTATTTATTTGTCAGATTAACATTATGACGATTGTACGATGATATATGTTTGCATATTATAGACCATTTAATATCTATAATCAATATCGACTATAACATATGATTTATATGTTGTTGTTCATCCATTGAATTTAAATAAATAGAAATTTTAATATGCATATATAATTAAAATCCTATAAATTTTAATTAAAAAAATTTTAATTTATATACGTATATGCGTATATAATTATAAATATATATATATCATATTTACATATTACATATTTATATAAATATATATTGAAATTTTTTTAAATATATTAAATCATAATTTTCTTAAAATTTTATGAAAATGCTAAAATGCGAAATGTTATTGTTTTATTCGATAGAAATATCTCGAAAATGATTAAAAAATTATATTTTTACAAATATTAACATGGTTGTACATAGTATTCATTACATATTCATGTACATGTAGATATCTATTAAATTTGTAAGAATTAAAATATTTGGTACTATAATGCTTTTTTATCATAATGTCACAATTCAAACGGTACATTGAATTTAAAAAATTTATGCATTTTTAAAAACAAATGTCGTATAACGTATATGTAACGTATAAAGTAATATTTCATACAATTGTTCTTCGCATATTTACAAAATTTCAAAGCGTACCAAGTCAAGTTTGATGATTAATAAAAGTCACTTAACAATTAGATCGCATTTCAACTATAATGCAAAAAAAATTCTTTAAAAAAATATTAAAAATTATGCAATGATTTTTCTGTCTCAATTATTATGCACTTGAAATTATTTCCATTTAACATATATGATACATTATATTATATCTCATAAAGATAATTTTATCGTTTAATTTTATGCATTAACACAATCCTTTACTCATGAAACATGTACAATGCAATAGATATTGATAGTTTTCATAAAGCAATAATCTAAACAATTATTTTAATCATAATTAACAAATAATAATAGTTATAAACAATCATGGAAAAACAATATATCCACGTATTAATATAACAATATAAAATTGTGAAATTTTAATCATGATTTATATTTTGATCATATATTTACTTGAATTTTCTTAATTTACCGATAGATGGTGCTATGTGCAAATAATAGCCATTCCATTACATCAACACGATCGGTGTACAGGTTCACCTTTGTTCTTTTAGTTCCCCTTTTCTCAGAATCTTTAATTTATCTCTCTTTTTTTTTTACTTTATTTTCATATTTTTAGTTTTTGATTAAAGTCAGATTTTAATATCTTGCATGAATTTTATAAGCGTTACTTTCAATCTTATTAGAATAATTCATTATTAGAATAATATTTCTAAAAATTCTAACTGTCATTTCGTTCGCGGTTTTGATCACGTGATCTCGTGTACGCATGAACCAACCTTTAAGTTTCGAATCCCCCACGCTAGTGCTTACTGATTCACTTCGATTCACGACGATGCATACCGCCAGTCGGTTCGAATAATCGCCTCGTGGCAGGTGAAGACGAAAATCGGCGAGGCCGAGCCTGCCAGCTATCCAATCACCTAGTCAACTAGTCGCCGTATGAAGTACGGACGAACCACGAAATCGTACCTCAATTTTCCACAAGAAATTTTGTTACCTATTGCGGTGCGATACGGTATACAAAATTTCGCGCAGCTATCTGTGTAACGTGTTACTTTTCTGTTTTCTTTTGTCACTTAGTCGTTGATTGGTCTCAATTTGTTTCGGTTGTTTTTTTATTTCGTTCAGTGCACTACATAACTACAAAGGTGAGACATGTCTTCTTTGAAGGGTGATAAAATTCCATGTGCCCGACTTTGCCATATCGTCAAGTGGGATGATTTTGACGGCTATGGATTTAATCTACACGCAGAAAAAGGAAAAAATGGTCAATTTATTGGTAAGGTGGATGACGGTTCTCCTAGTCAAGCCGCTGGTTTACGACAAGGTGATCGAATCATCGAGGTTAATGAAATCAACATCGCAAACGAGACTCATAAGCAGGTTGTTGAACGCATAAAGGCTTTTCCTAATGAGACGAAGCTTCTGGTGGTCGACCAAGAAGCCGACGAATATTTCAGGGCCAACAACATCGTTATCAAGGGCACTATGGCGAACGTCAAGGTGATCAAGACCCCAGAAAAGAATCCGAATAGTAGCGAACAAGAAGAGCTTAACGGCAGCAATGCCTCCACCGATGAGGTGTGTATCATTTATTTGTTTATTTATATATTCACAATCATTTTATTATTTTTAAAGTTATCTATTGCTCAACATAGAAGATCTTAGAATTGAGAGTCCACTCCACCTGTTGCTTCGATAATTTGTATTTATCATTTGATAATTCGTTATAACCTGTCATGTAAACACGTTTTTTTAGAAGGCAATCGTTAGTTATCTTTATATATCTTTTTCCAAATTTTTTTTAAGAATTCTTCGAGAAATATTCTGCTTTTAATTAATATCATAAAAATAATGATAGAATTTCTATTCTACTTCTAAAAAGTTCTAAATAATTTTTAACAATTTTAAAATATATGATCTTCTATCATACATTGTATAATTTTGTTAAAGCATTATTTTATTATTATCTTTTTTTATTATCTTTTGATATCAAATCCGACGGTTTAATTAAAGTAGTAAATCATGTTTCATCCTAACGTGTTTTTTTGTTTCTTATTTCTTTCTTAGGATTAAAGTAAATTTTGATTTTATAAATAATCACTATATGATGTCTGTTCGCAATTCATCTTATCAACATATGTGACAATGTTTTTTAAAGAGAGAAAAATGTCATTTTTTATATATATATATATATTTTGAGATAAGTTAAGTAAGTGTTTCACCGGTCTAAGTTTTCGAACATCTGTGTTTGCTGCAATTTACAGCAGAGTAAAAACAAGAAAAAAGTTAACGCGCCATACGTGGGGAATGTTGCGTCGTTTTACCATATATTACAGTATGCGAACGAATAAAGTAGAAGCGGAGAGTTTCGATTTCTCATTCTGTATTCTAAAAATATAGATTGCATGAAATGCGATATTTGAATAATATACACAATTCAGGATAACTTGTTCATCGGTCTAGCAGATTTTGATCGATGATTTACAATTCGATAATGAAATTATCTTTCATCGTAACAAAATTATCGATATTAAAACTAATATTTCACAAACAGATGTTGCGCAACTAGTGCACATATGTATAATACATGACAGCAAGTGTTTACGAACTTTTGTATGATATTTCGATACGTTGAATATTCCCTGTTGTATTTAGGAACGAAAAACTACAATGTAAGTACCTACATCCGTTGATTTCTTTCTGGTCGCCATCCGACGATAACATGTTTGATGTTGATACTCCTATCGCAGCTTCCATGAATACCGCTTATCTTGCGTGTCTCATAGTTACAATCGCTAATTATATTTTATAAAAATCTCTTTTTTCCATTTCTCTTTTTATTTTATTTTATTATTTTATCCTTAATAAAATTCTAAATTCTTTTATTTTTTTTTTATCGTTCTAATGTATTATTGAAGTCATTTAAGAAAGACTAAGCAATTAACTCGTGATCAATACTATTCTATTGATCTACAAATTACTCTTTTTGTTTAGCGGGAAACGAATTGAAGATTGAAATTTACGATGCAATCAACCGTTTCTTTTATTCTTTTCTTATTTATTTCAACGTATCATGTCCGACGTAAATGTCTTGACTTGGTAACAAAATCACGAAGTAAAATCAAATACTGGGAATTTTTTCTCAAGGTCACGAAATCGTATAAAACCACTTTGTTTCCTCGTTAGTTATTCTTTGTCTGCTTTGTCTCTTTCCCTCTTTCGTTCCCGTCTCTTGTTCGAGAAGCAGTTATAAAGTAAGTAATTTTTCTATTTCGGCATCAGTTTCCTTGTTTCCATTGCGATTCATCGGTAAGCACAAGAAGGTAAGCGTTCGCGAGCATCGAGTGACTCATTCGTTTTGTTCGCGAGCGATAAGACACGTACAAAAAAAAAAAAAGAAAAAAGAAAAAACATATATCACAAGATTCGTTTCTTTATTTATTACACGCGATCAATTTTCTCGATGGAATTTCAAGACGCGTGACGAAGTTTATCGGAAATTGTTTCAATTGTTTGGCCATCGGTTCTCATTGAACCGATATCATAACCATTCTCGCGTGTAACAATTACGGTTGTTAATCGGCGGAAGTTGCTCCTTTAGAAAATGGCACATTCGTCGCTGGCCTTAATTCGCCTTCATGGGATCCGCGCTCGATCATCTTGCCGCGATACGTGGAACCCGATCATGCCAACTATCTCGCGATCCAAAGATTTGTCCTCCGTCGATACGATTCACCGGATTTCCGCTCATTTTCGCGGCGTCAAGTTACGTAAATTTCTCCTTGTTCGTACCAACTTGTGTACGTGTATATATACATACATACAGTCTATCCAGGATAAAACAGTAAAAGAAAATGTGGAATGAATCAACAACGTGTCTGTAGAAATGTTTCTTTTACGCGAATGCGTTATTCACGATTCGTCAGTTCGATCACTCGTGTAGTAAATACATAGTTAATCGCCTCTCTACAGGCAGGCTGCTGGTCAACTTCCTGTCACCATTTTCAAGTTGCGCAATAGAGCAACCGTCGCGTGGCGTGCACGGTGCGCGAACGAGAGGGAAAATCGTTTACCTCGAGTGGAAGGAACGAGGATCTTTGGAAATATTTCACGATCGGTTGGAGAGAGATGGAGAGATGGTAACGATGTCACGGGTAAAATCGGGTGAAATTCTTTCGTGACAACGACTGACTTAGCCTTAAAAGTCCGTTATCCGCTCTTATTCTATTTCCGTGTGCATCGTTCAAGCGATTTTTAAAGAAAGCGTGCCAAAAACTCGGGACGAATATATGCATATGCAGATAAGGTCATTCCCTCTCGAAAAGAATCAGGGCATTAGGTGCATATCGTGTTTCGTTGTTCGAATTAATTAAAAACTGTTATAAGCATATATATATAGGTATGCACGGTATAAAATATCGATATATTCGTTTTGCAATTTTTTAATATCATGTTAAATACAATTGTTTTTCCCCAACAAGAATAATTTCGAAAAGAATATTCGAATATCTAAGAAGATTGCTCGATTCATTTGATTTTAATTACGATTGGTTACAACACTGTTCAATTGCATAAAAAAAAAAAAAGAAGAAAAAAAACAAAGAAACTCGTTTGAGAGAATTAATCTCAATGCCGCGGCATAGATTCTCAGTTTTTACGGAGAGATTACTTCATTATTTTAATCTTTGTTAGCATTAGTCATTCATAGCGAGCTTTTTCTCTTCGTTCTTGCGCATGTGTCATGATCAATTATTACGATCACAATTATTACGCGTGAAAATATACGATACGATACGTTTGAAATTATTCGACTTCATCAAATAGTCCAAGTCCAATTTCTGGAGAAGTGAAATTTTTTTTTTTTTCTTTTTTTTTTCCTCTTTTCAATTTCGGACACGATAAGAGTGTGTTAGAAAAGGACAAACGGACTAACATTATTTCGAAGAGATTTAAACGGTGTGTGGTTTGGAACCGGTTTTCCGTCGCGCTTGCCTTTAGTCGATGGAATTCCTTTAAGTACCGTTCGGAATATTGCATCAGGAGCCAAGGTCATTTTGAATCTCTTATAAGATAAATTTGTCCATCGTTTTTGAACCCTCTCTCCCCCTCCCCTCCCCTCCATCCCCCTCCACCTTCTTCCAAATTTATTGGTTTTTAAAAAAAGCTTATCCTATTTTGTTAATTACCTTTTGCTTTTACTTTCCGTTAATCTAAAGCGAAATATATTGCCGTTGCCATACGGTGGAAAATAAAAGTGTCTCACTCATTCGTTTAACACCAATTCGTGAAAAAAATTCAGTTGATATTTTTTTCTTTCAGCGCGACCGCGACTCACTTGTTTGGGAACGCATATTTACGCGATCGTCTTTCATACGTGACCCGAGCGTCTTCCGCTATCTTTCGCCCCTCTTCTGAATTCTGCTTTGTTTCTCTTTGTTCGTTATAGAGAGAGAGAGAGAGAGAGAGAGAGAGAGAGAGAGAGAGAGAGAGAATAAAAG